TGCAATCAGAAAGCGATTTGTTTTTTGTCATAGATATTTAATTCCAATCTATCGCACTCACATGCTCTCTGATAATAGATATCGTATACATATATATATATATATATATATATATATATATATGTATATATATATATATTTACAGAGACACAGAGAAGGAAGACGCGCATGAGTTAAATAGAGCCCCTTCTCTACTTGCCAGGCTGGAGAAAGCTGAATTTGACGAGGAAACCCAGGAACTCCTGGTGGCCGAAGAAGAGAGAAACCCCTGCTTGACCATCACCCATCAGTGATGGGACCAGGCCCAGAACCAGAGGGGCAGGCGTGGGCTTGCAAGCAACCTGGACTGTCAGACTCAACAGCGGCTTCCAAGGATAAGTATCGGAGTCCTCCCCCTACACACACACACACACACACACACACACACACACACACACACACACGTACCTGCTCTGTGCCCAGGAGCCGCAAATTACTGACCCCGACTCTTCTGGGGCCCCGTTCAGGTGTGTTTTATTAATTGTGTATTAACATGGGTTTTATTTGCCTTGTGACTTTGTGGCAAGCCATGGAGAGGCCTTCGAGGTAACTGCTCCTCCCTGTTTCACAGTGACATGTTAAACCCTCAATAAAGTTTTGTATCTTAAATCATGTTGTAAATCCTTTTTTAAAAATTTTTATTTATTGATTTCACAGAGAGAGGAACATTGATTTGTGGGCATTGGGTTTGTTGTTGCTTTTAAATACATTTTAATATATTTGTTATCGATTTCAGAAAGGAAGTAAGAGGGAGAGAGAGAAAAACATTAATGATGAGAGAGAATCATTGATTGGCTGCCTTCTTCATGCCCCCCCTCCCACCACACACACATACTGGGGATGGAGCCTACAACCTGGGCATGTGCCCTTGACCAGGAATCGAACCCTGACCTCCTGGTTCATAGGTCGACGCTCAACCACTGAGCCATGCTGGCCAGGCAAACACTGCCTTTATAATTATTCAAAGTGTGTGTATACATTTTGGACACCCTAAATATCTATGATATAGATATAGATATATAGAGATAGATAGATCTATATCGATCTATCTACCCTTGTTTTTTGACCTGACACATACAATGGCAGTGTGCATATAAGTCCTTCATTTGAATGCTCTATTCCTCCACAGTGACAGGCATTCAGGTGGTTTCTAATAATTGATGCTATAAATTCCACTAAATGGACAACCTTGCAAATGTCATCTTGTACAGGAGTCTGGGGCTTTAAGGTAGCTACTTAGACATACAAGGGTAGCACATGCCATTATGAAGGCAACGGAGAGAAGGATCAAAATAACTCTAGCCCTCACCTGGCACATGTGGCTCAGTGGTTGAGCATCGACCTATGAACCAGGAGGTCACGGTTTGATTCCTGGTCAGGGCACATGCCCAGGTTTTGGGCTCAATCCCCAGTAGGTGGCATTCAGGAGGCTGCCAATCAATGATTCTCATCATTAATGTTTCTCTCTCTCTCCCCATCTCCCTTCCTCTCTGAAATCAATAAAGATATTTTAAAATAATAATAAATAACTCTAGCCCTGGCTGGGTAGCTCAGTCAATTAGAGCATCATCCTGATATGCCAAGATTGTGGGTTCAATCCCTCGCCAGGTCATATATTAGTACAGGAATCAACCAATGAATGCATGAATAAGTGGAACAACAAATCAATGTTTCTCTCTCCTTCTTTCTCCTCTCTCTCTCTCTCTCTCTCCCTCTCTCGGATTGGATGAAAGAAGGTGAAGAACATTTATGCATAACCTATAGACACAGACAACAGTCTGGTGATGACCAGAAGAAAGGGGGGGTGGTCTGGATGAAAGTGGGTAATGGAGACATTTGTAATAGTGACAACAATAAAAATAAAGTTAAAAAATAAAATAAATACTCTGATGGGAGGGAGGTGGGTGGTGTGAGGGATGCAGACGGCCGTGAACTGAACTCTGATCCAGCAAGACACTAGCACACAATGCGTGGAATTCATGTGACACCTCAGTGGGCAGAGCTGCTGGTATCAGTGGAGGTGCAGTGGTGCAGAAAGGACCACCCCACCCCAAGCTGAAGGTGGATTTGTCCTCACACTGAGCCTTCAAATGCCACTCTCCCTGTCGCCGGGAAAGCTGTGTGAATCCCCTGAAGCCAGGTGCACACACCCATGACGGGCATTCCTGTTCCGGAGGGTGTGTGTGGGGGGGGGGGGCTGGTGTTGTTGATCCCAGGGCCCCCAACTCACTTTGAAGCCATCTTCGAGTATTCTAAACATTTTTGAAATACTGTGACCTAATTTAAGGGACTCTGTGACAAATTCAAAAATTCTAGACCAACGGAAAATTCCAAAAACATGATGGGGATTAAGAGTGGTTGTAAATTGCCCTAACCGGTTTGGCTCAATGGATAGAGCGTTGGCCTGCAGACTCAAGGGTCCCGGGTTCAATTCTGGTCAAGGGCATGTACCTTGGTTGCGGGCACATACCCAGTAGGGAGTGTGCAGGAGGCAGCTGATCGATGTTTCTCTCTCATTGATGTTTCTAACTTTCTATCCCTCTCCCCTTCTCTCTGTAAAAAAAAGATAAAATATTTTTTTTAAAAAAAAGAGTGGTTGTAAATAAATAAATAAAATATAGGGGGAAGAGAGAAGAAAATAAAATATAAAATAAATTTTAAAATGGGGGAAAAAGAGAAAAGAGTGGTTTTGGAAGTCCGTCTGCCTTATTTAATCACAGTACAATAATTATGTAATAATAATTACATCATTACCACAGCTCAGTCCATAAGAAATGAAGCTTTGGGTTTCCTCCATCTATTTTTATATGCTTCGCTTTATTGAATCTTTGCAACACACTCAAGAATTTCAAACATTACATCAAAGAAAGACAAAAAATACCCACACAAAAAAAACCTTAAAGCCAACATAGGCTCTTGGGGTCGAATACAGTATTTGATGAGGATTCTGGAGGTTGGGCATTTAATATGCTGCCCACAACACTGTGGAAAACAATAGAGGTGACAGCCCACTCATCCCACAAACAGTGGCGCCTGAACAATACATCGGTGAGGACCTCCTGGTGGTTGTGTTCCAGAACCTTCCACGGGAAAGCAGGGGCATCTCATCCTTGGTCACCACCACCATTTATCTTCAAGCTCATTGAAATCCCACTTACACAGGATTCTCAGAAAATGCCCCTTCTCCTGTAATTCCTGCAACTTCCCTTCCACAAGATGGTATAAGTCTTTCTCCAGCCTGCAAGAAAACAAGCCAAATAAAAAAAGAATAGAGAATTAGAAGAGATGATTGGCTAAGAGGATAAATATAAAAGCTCACCTGTTTGTCCTCATATTATTGATTTCAGAGAGAGGAAGGGAGAGGGAGAGCGAGATAGAAACATCAGTGATGAGAGAATCATTGCTCAGCTGCCTCCTGCATGGTCCCTACTGGGGATCGAGCTTGCAACCCAGGCATGTGCCCTTGACTGGAATGGAACCCATGACCCTCATGGGTTCAGTCCGCAGGCCAATGCTCTATCCACTGAGCCAAACCAGCTAAAAATATATTTTAAAAAATAAATAATACCTGAAGCAGGGAGGCATGGAACAGACTGACATACCTTGATGTGGGGTGGGGGGAGGAGGGAGGATGAAAAGAGATAAACCAAAGAACTTATATACTTATATGCATAGCCCATGAACATGGGCAATTGGGTACTGAAGACCTGGAGTGAATAGGGGAAGGAGGGGGGTAAGGAGGGAAGAAAATGGGAGATATTTGTAATACTATCAACAATAAAAATATATTTTTTAAAAGTTAAAACAAGTAAATAAACAGAATCTCTCTCTATAAAACCCTAATATGCAAATAGACCAAATGGTGGAATAACCGAATAACCGGTCACTATGATGTGTGCTGACCACCAGGGGGCGCACATACACGGAACATCGCAGGCATCATCCGGAGCGGGATGGTAGAGCAGGTGAGCGGGGGCACCAGACCAAGGCGGGGAGCCAGTCACTGTCATCAGGGTAAGCCTTTGGTAGTTACTGAAAATTCTTTGCTCCCCTGCACTGTGGTCCCACCGGGTCCCAATCGCTCAGCGCCATCAGTGGGTGTGAGCAGTGGCTGCCATCCCCGGTTCCCCCTGAGGGCTTCCCCACCTCCCCCTGTTCCTGAGTGGCAATCAGGGCAGCAGCCGCTGCTCGTACCCACTGACAGCACTGGCCCCACTTGCACCCGCTGCTCGTGCCAGCCCCAATCATTCTGTGCCATCAGCGGGTGCAAGTGAGGCCAGCACCGTCAGCATGTGGGAGCTGCGGCAGCGGGAGCAAGGCTGCCAGCAGAGAGGGGACCGGGGGCCAAAGTGGGAGGGGCTGGGCGGGGGCGCAGAAAATGGGCTGAGACCCACCCCTGTACCCACCACAGCCTCACAGCCCACAGTTCCTTCAAGGTGCACGAATGTGTGCACTAGACCCTAATATCTATCTATTACCCAACCCTTCCCCACACCTCAAGGGGGGATGTAAAAGCCAGGGGCATTACCCAAGTTTCTGCAGTTTGCACGAGGGTTTCTGCAGAGACTTCCACAATGTGTTGACGCCCTCGGGCCCCAGGTCATTCCCCAGGAGGTTCAGGTTCACCAGGCTCTTTCTGACGCTGAGCGCCGAGGAGAGGTCCTTGCAGCATGCAGAAGTCAGACTGCAGCTCTCCAGCCTGGCGTGGAGCGGGCAGAAAGGGTGAGTGGCAGTTCTCCGACATTGAGAAATCAGAAACGAAAGTGGTACGGTTACACCATGGAATGCTACGTGGCCATGAAAAAGAATGAACACTTATCATTTGGGACAGCATGGATGGACCTGGAGAATACGGTGCTACATGAAATAAGCCAGTCAGAGAAAGGCAAATACCATGTGATCTCTCACTTACATGTGGAATCTAGATAACAAAATAAACAGACGAACAAAATAGAACCAGAGGCACAGATGCGTGAGACAGATTGACAGATCTCAGAGGGAAGGGGGATGCAGACTGGATGAAAGAAGGTGAAAGGATTAGCCAAGGACATATATGCATAAACCATAGACATAGACAACAGTGTGGTGAGGTCCAGAGGCTGCATGGAGGTGGGCAAAATGGGGATATCCGTAATAGTGTCAAAATAAAAATAAAGTTAAAAAAAACTAAAAAAATCTACAAGCAAAGAGATTTTTAATATCATATATCATAAAAGTCTAATATGCTAAGTGTCTGGTTGACCAGTTGGCCGTTCAATTAATCAAAGCGTAATAAGCTAATGATATGCTAAGGCTGCTCAACCACTCACTATGATATGCACTGACCACCAGGGGGCAGACAGTTGACCGGTTGACCTGTCGTTATGACATGTACTGACCACCAGGGGACAGACAGTTGACCAGTAGGTTAGCTTGCTGCTGGGGTCCGGCCAATTGGGACTGAGTGAGATGGGCTGGACACGCCCTCCCACATCCCTCCCCGGCCCTGATTGCATGCACCAGTAGGGTCCCTTGGCCTGGTCTGCACCCTCTCACAATCCAGGACCCCTCGGGGGATGTCAGAGAGCTGGTTTCAGCTGCATCCCGCAGACCAGGCGAGGGACCCCACTGGTGCACGAATTTGTGCACCGGGCCTCGTGTGTGTGTGTGTGTGTGTGTGTGTGTGTGTGTGTGTGTGTATACTGAGTGATCAGATTATTATGACTGGCCAGATTATTATGACCACCCCATCAGTTCAATGAAGTGAATTAGTTATGCAAATAATAATAATAATAAAACCTTGAGAGTATTTGCTTAGGAAGTTTTCAATATTCAGTATTTTTGGAAGTGTCAATGAAGTACTGATGGGGTAGTCATAATAATCTGGCCACTCAGTGTATATATGTAATTGATTTCAGAGAGGAAGGAGAGGGAGAGAGAGATAGAAACATCAATGATGAAAGAGAATCACTGATTGGCTGCCTCCTGCACGCCCCCCACTGGGGATCGAGCCCGCAACCCTGGCATGTGCCCTTGACCAGAGTTGAACTGTGACCTTTCGGTTCATGGATTGATGTTCAACCACTGAGCCACACCAGCTGGACAGTAAAGAGAAGTTTAGAGAACTTTGTCCTTCCCCGTGTCCCCCCTTCTGAGCCGTGCGGGCCCATGTGCTGTCTGTCCCCTCCCAGGAGGGAGCAGTGGTCTAGCCCACTCACCCGAGTGTGTTCAGGGTGCAGCTGGGCTGTTTCAGAGCTGCACACAGCCGCTTCCCTCCGGCGTCCTGAATGTGGTTTCCCCCAACGTCCAGCACCTCCAGGCTGGAATTGCACCCCAGGGCCTCCGCCAGCACCCAGCAGCCCTCAGCGGCCGAACGCACACTCTGACAGACTGTGGGATACAAACGT